GCCTATGCCGCACGATGTTTTGGGTGAGGGTTCGATCGGTGGCGCTGGAAAGGGAGTAATGGACAGAGTGGCCTGCCTTCGAGCAGTGTGGATGCTCTGCCTTCAGCGGAGTGTAAAGTAAATATGGCGGTCTCTTGCCGCTGTGGTGGTCCTCCTGTGTGTGTGTGTGTGAGGTGTGCGTCGCGTGTCGTGTGAGTGGTTTTTTCTCTTGCTGCAGCGGCGTCGCGTCATGTCTGCACCTATTTTGTTTCTTTATCCCTCTTAATTTCTTGTAGGCTGGTGGTTGGTGGTCAGCTGCAGTTTAAGCCAACAACAACTAAGAAAGGAAAAAGTCAAGGAAACGGTGTCAGAGTTGGATGAGAGAGCGCACAGTGGAAGTGGGGATAGTTCCATGTCTCGTGTAGAACAGGGACATCGTCCTGTGAGTCCGAGGCTGGCGTCCAATCTCATGCTGGAACAGCTCTGTGTGGCTCGCAGAAGATTGGATGCAAGGCGGCGAACGGAATGGAGTCTTTGCAGTATGGTGGAAGATGTACTGATGGGGGATGAAGTTAGCATCCGTGGCATAAAGCTGAATGAGTTTCTTTGGAAAATCTTTGGTTATAGGGCATGCGTCAATGAAGACTACGATATTATGATTGAGGCTGTTTTTGTGAATCCCGCTGCCTACATTGACGACGAGGAGCTTCTCAGTGGAATTCTCGAGTCAAGGGAGTACCAGGCATACACGCTGCAACAAGATTGTTGGACGCTGGGTGGCATCGGAGTCGTTAACCTTGAACAGTGGAAGGAGTTGAGTGGGAAACATACGTCCAATATTAGCTCTTACACTAGGAGAAAGTTGGATGCAGCTCTGGACGTGGCGGTGAGCAGCGTGTTCGACGCTTCTGTGGAAGATTTAAGAAACATGAACATTAAGCACCAACCGAAATGGAGCATTTGCAGTAGCGTGAGGGATATACTGCTCTGGAGACCATCTTGCCCTGATAGATTGAACCTGAACGATTTCCTTCGCAAGGAATTGAACGGTAGGGGTGTTGACCTTAACAATAGGTATATTTCTATGGTGACGTTTATTGAGAACCCCGAGCAGTTTATCAATGACGATGAATTATTGGGCGAAATAACGGTGTTACCGTTTTACAAGGAGATGAAGTGTATCGTGGAGGAAGAAAGAACTCTTTTGAAAGACGAAGAGAAGCTGTGCAACGCATCTGTGGTCTATCTCGGTCAATGGCGCGACTTTGAAAAAAAGGACATGGTTTCTCCGCTTGCACGGGAAATACTCGTCGCAGCTCTTAGGAACACAATGGAGCTATGATGGTTGTGCCGCTTCTGCTCGGGGGAATTTGCGACGCTGTGTGCATTGCGATGTGAAGCCATTGCACAGGAATTTCTGAGAACGCGGTGATAGGAATGGAGGTGAGGGAGGACAGTGCACCACAGTCATAGGAGTACAAGGCGGACGGCGCAGCTCCTCCACTGGACGACAGTACAGAGTCATTCTGTGTGTCACGTGCCAATGTAATGGTTCCCAACTGTGATGAGGGGGATGTCCGTGGTCGCTGATTAAAACAAAACAAAAAAAGGTCTTTCTGACTGCTGGCTTAACTGTGAGGTGGGGGCGAATGTAATGGGCTGTTAGGGGTGATCTAGCTGGACTGTTTGGCACTCACAGTGGGGGCAAAGTGTGGCGGCTTCTCTCGATTGGGACGCGCGGGGTCGGGGAAATTGATAGTGGCCTACCCGTGCCTTTTCTATCAGACGTTGCACTCCGGCATCGAGCAACTTCAAGTGGGGGCGTACTTCATTGCGGTTTGAGCGCTTCTGTTTGGCGGTGGCATTGAAATATACGGTCTGAGCCGCAAAGGGTGTGCAGGAAGTGTCGAAATGTGGGAGGAAACGGCAAATTATTGACTGTGCGTCAAAGCAGGATACTGAAACCCCTTCTTACTTGCGTCCCATGGGGCGAGGCATGTCCGTCGTGTTACTCCAAAAATAAATGGGTCATGAATACTGGAAGAAACGCGCCCACGACGGTCTTGGAGGTCGCAATGAATTGCCCTGACGAGAGCGCAGTGGAGGCGATGTGTGCCTGGAGGAGGCACGATTGGCCTGCACAGGCGAAGGCAGAGTAACAGAGCAAGGTCAAGGACATTACCACCCAGGCGAGACCTATTTTCCCGTTGTAGGTTTAGGGGAGGCGACTACAAAATACATTGGAGAACGGTTGTGGGTTGAGAGTGCTGTGAGCTGCTTCACCCTTGCAACTGCGTTGTGTGGGTTTGGAACGGCAGGATGAAGTTGTAGCATGCCGAACATCTGCCTCAGCCTCTTGCAATTGTGCTGCGGCTGTTTATTGATTATGGAATGGCGTAGCTTCCAAGGTGTCTGGCTTATTATGTGATCAGGGGTGAGCATTGCCTCAGGTGGTGAGGACCATGCGATCGTTTCGTGGCTTCAAGTCTCTGATGGCAAGACCTGCTGAAGGACTTCCGGCATTTCTGGAGAAGTACGGTGTGTGCGCATTTATGCCTTGGGGCTTTGTGAAGAGGGCGCACGACAAGCTTTGTGAGCTGCGGCCCTGTGTGCTGCACGTGAATCCGTAGCTGCTGCCCACTGACGCGGTTGCGTCGCTGTCGAGGTTGTTTTGGGCCGCGAAGGTGGAGGCAGCGTACCGGGTGCTGTACGTGCCGGGGGTTGAAGACTTTTCGCTTGTGGGCGTCTTCTTCGTTGCGGTACCGCGGAGGACGATTGTTGGGCTGCGGACAGCCACGGCGAAGGCACACCACATCACAAGCAGCACAGTGCAGCAGTTCAGCGAGTGTCTGGTGGCGCATTTTGACGATTGGGAAACTTTTTCCCGGGGCATGTCGTGGGAGACTGTTTACGTGCAGCATGCTGAGGGCATGTCACCGGACACGTGGCGGAGATGTGATATCGTCGATGGTCTGAATGCCGCCCAGAGTAAAGCGGAGGGGGGCACTGCGGAGTTTGGAAGCCAGAAGGTGCGGCAGTACCAAGCGGAGATGGCAGAAGGGGGTGTGCATGCGGTGTGTGACCAAGAAGAAGAAGCACCTGCAACTTCTGCAGGTGTCCTGCCAGTCACAGTCATCCCTGAAGTTGCAGGAGGGCAGTGAGGCTGTGATTTCCGTGGAAAAGGTGGTTGTGGATGCCCCGCTGCGGGGTTTTTTTTTATCTTATTTTTTGCATTAAAAAAAAAAACGTTGCGCCCCACTCCTGCTGCGGTGCGCTGATGGAAGTGGTGGCGTTGGGAAAATTTGTAAAGGTCTTCATGGGATGTCCCGCCGGCATGCGCACTGCATGTTGCCGCTGGCGGGGTTTGAAGGGGCTGGGCGGGGGAGACAGTAAGCGACGTGCTTATGAATTTATTTTTTATATTATATTTGATTTCTGTGAGAGGCGTCCCACACTTCGGACGCTGCGTGCGGATGCGTGTGAGTGTTTTTTTTAGGGCTGCGCACAACACTCGCTGCCACTGGCAACTTCTTTGCGGCTGCCGTTTATTGTGGGGGGTGGCGAGTGTGTGATTGTGCGGCCCACACGTTCGTCGGTGTAGCCTTCGTTTTGGATTCTCGCTGTTCTTTGCGGGGTGCCCGCTGGGGGCGCTGGCCGGGCTCTTGTGCCTCCTCATAATTTTTTTTTCATTGCTTGAAGGACGCATATATTTGTGGCGTAATTCTCCTGCGAGGACGTGTGGGAGAGCCGTTCTTTGGGCCCATTATGGCTTTTCTTTTGCTTTCACTCTACGTTTGGTTTATTTCTCACATCTCTTTTTTTTTTCCACACACACACACACGCACACATAGAAGAAAAGAGATTAAACGCTACTCGCTGCTGTGCGCTTTGAAGGCTCTGCAGTCACCACACACACACACACGTACACTCAACTGTCGCTGTCTGAGTGGATCCACCCCAAGTAGGGAAGGAATAGAATGAGTGAGCAGCGACACCTGCTCAGGATGTACCGGCACATGTTTTATTCCGCGATGTTGCTCCTCCCCTCCATGCTGTTGATGTGCAGTTGCGGGGCTGTGAACGCTGCGAAGGCGAGTGGGTCACAACCGATTGCTCTCTTCAAAGTGGGAGAAACACGATTATCTGCTTCCGTGGGGAACGAGGCTGCATCGGGAGATAATGACGTCAAGGCGTTTAACGGACATTCCCTTGTTGAGGTCGGTGGTTTAATGATGGCCCTCGCCAAAGCGAACTTCCGCAGGGCTGGCGATCCCAATGTTGGCATGTGGGAAAAGCACGTCAGCGCTACGGGTGACGGATGGGCGAGGCAAGTTGTTGCGCAGGATAAAACGGGTTGGTGGACGGGTATTGCCGTGAAGCAACGTGGGGAAGCGTACTGCAGGTCCCAATTGGGTGGCCCCAAGGCCGTGGCTAAGAGAAATAAAATATTTCTGCTCTTGGAGCACCTTCGTGCGACATGTGTGAGGGCGACTGCAAGCCAGGCAACTTTTGATCTTGAGCTGTTTGTTGGCACTGTTGGGGAGCCCACAGCTAAAGGCGAACCAATCGTGTGGAGTGCTGGGAACTTAACAAATGCTGCAGTTACTGCCCACCTGAAAAAGGAGAAATGGATTAAATTTTGGGGAAGTAACGGCAGGGGCGTGTTGCTGCGTGACGGCACGATTGTGTTTCCTCTGGTGGCTGTGAAGACGAACGATAAAAAAGAAGTCTGCACCATTATTTCTTCAAACGACGATGGTCACACCTGGAATTTCCCTGTGAAGGGCTTTGTTGAGGACTGCTCCGATCCCAACCTCTTCGAGTGGGAGGGGAAGCTGCTCATGGTCGCCACGCACGCAACGTATCGCAAGAAGGTGCATGCGTCCAGTGACGTGGGAGAGACATGGACGGAACTGGGCGGCATGCATTCGAACGTCCTGAGTGAGGCTGTGAAGGCTGCGCCATCTGGCGGTCGGGTTGACATCTTGACTGCATCCATCGAGGGAAGGAAAGTAGTACTGTTTACTCTGCACGACCAGTTTGATGGTATGAGAAAGACGAACGCGTTGCATCTTTACATGACGGATATGGCTCGGTTTTATCCTGTTGGGCCGATCTCTGCTGATGGTGCTGTGAAGACCTCCGGAAGTCTTCTGTACGTCAATGGTGAATTGTTTGCTCTGCACGAGCAGCAAGCAGATAAGGGCGCGGTTGTTTTAACGCACCTCTCTGCGCAGCTGGCGGAAATAAAGCGTGTGCTGAGGACTTGGGATGCCGTTGACAAGGAGGTTGCACTACTTTGCAACTCCGCCAGCAAGGAAGAAGCTGCACCCAGCAACGCCTGCGGCACGGCGGCGCTCACGGCCGGGCTGGTTGGCTTTTTGTCTAGTGGGGGTGACAATAATAACTGGGTGAATGAGTACCTCGGGCTGAATGCCTCTTTGACGGGTGCAGAGCGGGCTGACGCTGGCGTGGTGTTCAAGAGAACTGCCGCAGAAGGGGTATGGCGTGTGGGGAATCGATGGCAGAACCAGCGTTTCCACTTTGTGAACGACAACTTCACGCTTGTGGCGACGGTCGTCATCCAAAGTCGGCCGTCCGGTGCTGGTCCTATTTCTTTGCTGGGGGCACGCGGTCCCGGAGACGCGAAGCTGATGGAGCTGTCGTACACCCCGGACCACAAATGGGTGACGACGTTCAACGCGGCTACGAACCACGTGCCCGACAAAACTTGGGAACTAAATAAGGCGTACCAATTGGCTCTCGTGCTGCACGACGGCAGTGGCTCCATGTACGCCGACGCCCAGCCGCTGGGGAGCCCGGTGCAGCTGCCAATGGCCGGAGAGGCGGGTCGCGATGTGTCAGAATTCTACTTTCTGGGCACCGGCAACAGCCAAGTTGCGGTGCGGAATGTGCTGCTGTATAACCGTCCGCTGACCGCCGCGGAACTGCAGGTATTCCTTCAGCGTGACGGGCAGACTGGGGCGGGTTCACAGAAAAGGGAGGAAGGGAGTCCGAGCACCGAGAATTCCGCTGCAGCTGCATCAGCGGAGGCTCTTGGCGTTGACGGCGCCGCCGCTTCAGCTTCAGGTCCAAGGAAAGAAACGTCTTCGCCCTCGCCTGCCAAGGCGGAGTCCGGTGCTGGAAACACTGCCAGTGGTGCAGCCGCCCCTTCGCCAGTAAAAGGAATCGGTGACAGAGCTATGCGTACGCGCGCGTCGGCGGTGTTGCTGCTTTTCCTGGGCCTGTGGGGCATCGCAGCTCTTTGCTGAGTGAGACTAGTAAGGCGCCACGTCCCCGGGTGCCAAAGATTATTTGCAGAGATCCATTTTATTGCAGCACGAAAAAAAAAAATGTGTTCTGTTGTTTCCCTTTCCCCTTACTATTGTTTTACCGGTTGCTCTTTTTTTTTGTGTGTGTGTGTTTATCTGAACTTTTGCTGGAAATTCAGGGGCGCGGTCTTTTATCTTTTTTTTTTCTTTTTTGCTTCAATGGTCACTTGTTATACAGTCTCATGAGTGACGAGTTTCTTCTGTTTGCTTGCAGCTGCTGCCCATACACGCGGTGCCAGCTTTGTCGTGCGTCTCATGTGCTACATAAGAAAACGAGGCCAAGTATACGAAGCAACGTGAACGGTGGGCAGGCACCTGTAACCAAGTGAACTCTTTTTTTTACTGTGGGCGATATATATATATATATATAGTTTTCGTTTTTCCCAATGCCTAGGGAGAAAAACCCCCACATGTTTAGACGATAGTTCTGTCGCACCAGCGACAGCACACAGAAAATCACAGTTGTGCCCAGGAACTGCGTCCTTCTTCCACGCTCAGCTTTGACGCCTTCTCTGCACCGCAACAGGCTTCTCGGGGCGGTTATACAGTCCCAACACCGCAAGGGAAAAAAGGGAAGAAAAGGGAAAAACAAAATGACTCGCCGGTTGCCTCAGCCCACGCCGCTTCTTCCGCTGGGTGCCTCGCCGCTGCAGACCGCCGTGCGTTCGACGAGGTGATGGGGAACGTCCGGCCGTCGGCGACCGCGGTGCTGCGTGAGCTGCCGCGCAAGGGACAGGGCGCAACGCAGGCGTACACCGTCGCCACAAAGGCTGAGGAAAACAGTGGCTGGGCTCCCATCCGCATCGCGGTGTCCACGGAGGATTTGAAGGACACCAATAAATACTGCACCAAAGAAGGTGAAATGAAACCAGACTTCAGAGGACAGAATTCACCGTGCAAGAAGGCTGATGTTTTGACCCCGGATATGATAAAAACCATTGTGGATGAGATTCTTCCTGTGGCCGTCGGACTGCACGCGGAGCGTTTGCTCGTTCAGCGCGTGAAGACTCCGTTTGTTGTGCTCCCGTTCACAGAGAAGCAGGGGAACTGCCAATACTTCAAGGTCCCCGAAGCTCATCAGAAGACGGGAGTGACGGACGCGGACATGGTGCTCTATGTGGCTTCCGGACTGGATGACAGGACGTGGGCTGTCCCGTGTATGTTCGGGGAGGACGGTCGTCCAATTGCCGGTGCCCTGCATATTATGACTATGCCTTTTAATATCTTTGGCGTCATGCACCCTGCTCGCGCCACTGCGCATGCAATCGCCTATGCTCTTGGCTTCAACAAGGAAGAGATGATGAAGCACGACATGCTGTTGAACGAGACTGGTGTGCGCGGCGGCACCTCTTCCGTGACGGTGGTGAAGTCACCTGTTACGCTGAACAAGACGAAGCTGCACTACGGCTGCGACACCATCCCGGGCATGGAGCTGTACAATCATGATGGGGTGTACTTGTGGTCGTTGCGCAATGCGAAGGACGAGTTGATGAGCCTGACTGGGGAAAGAGCCGCCGGCTACTACACTGCACTGACGATGGCGGCGTTTGAGGACCTCGGCTACTACAAGGCCGTGTGGGGGATGGAGGAGCCGATGGCGTGGGGCAGAAACTCCGGATGCAACTTCCTGGATAAGCCGTGCTCGGAGGAGACTCCCACCACTTACCCCGACATGTTCTGCGATAAAAAAGATTTGAATTTGCTTCGCTGCACGTCCAACCGTCAAGCCATCGGGACATGCTTTTACAATGCTGTTGCTAAAGACAATGGTGGCGAAAAGGAGATATGCAATTATATTCTCCTGCCTGGTAGTAATTCACACAATATGTTTTGCACACTGGAAGGGGTCGGCTCTCTACCAGGGTCCCTCCGTGGAAAGGGCTCGTGGTGCCTCGATGCAGAACCAGTCACGTTCCAGACTAAAGACAACCCCTTGTTTAAGCAGCTTATCATGCAGGCGGTGTGTGCGGTGGTGCAGTGCGAGGGGGGCAAGGTGAAGGTGAAATACCTCGGCGGGAGTGATTTTGAGCTGTGCCCCGAGGGGAAGTCTATCACGCCCAAATCGCCGCACTTCAAGGACGGCAGAAAGATCAAGTGCCCAAGGTACGAGGAGGTGTGCACCATCGCCGCCGATGGCAGAAGCCTCATCAACCCAAAGAAAGGCGGTCACGATGGCTGTGCGGCTGTTTTTGTTCTCTCCAGTCTTCTTCTCGCCGCGATCGCTGCCGTGGTGGCGGCGACGGTGCCGCTTTGAGCAGCGGCCGCAGCAACAGAGCACTTCATGCAGCGGCAGGGCAATGTTGCCCCGACGCTCCTCACAGAGCAGGCGTCTGCAGCGCGTAGAAATGCAAGATGATTGCTCTTGCAGCCGCCCTATCCCCACCACCGCAGGCCCCTCGTCGGGAAGTAGTTAAAACATGCGTCCCTGCTGAATGGCGCCGCGGGTGGTGGAGAGGAGAATCGTGCGGTGTTTGTTAGGCGCCAGCAAAAAACAAAAAACAAAGCAAAATTAAAGTAAAAATGATGGGGTCTGTTGTTTCTTATTCTTCTTTTTTGTTTGAAATATAATTCTATAACGGTGCTGATTTGTTTTTATGCGCTTCCCTCAGGGACAAAACGACGGCAAAACTGGGAGGTGCGTAGATATTTTTTTTTTTTTTCCCTTTTGTTTTTGGCCACGTCTCAGATGGCGTGCCGTGGAGGAGGAGAGGGGCCGCATACTTTTGGTAGCGCACTGAGTCCCCCCCCTTCTTTTTTTTGTATTGGCTGTGCGCAGTGGGTCTGCATGTATCTTAACTTTCAGTGGGCCAGGCGTCTCAGCGGAGGATAAACTTATTTTTGTAGAGACGCGTGGAACAAACATGCCACGCGGTGAGAATAAATAGTTTTTTTTTGTTTTTGAA